GGAAAAGAGAGACCATCTACTGGGGCCGGGTGTTTGCTCTCCAGAGCTTTAAGTGTATCTGGAGAACATGGAGCCAGTACGTCATTGCTAAAAATAATTCTGGCTGCGCCGCTAATATCACCTTCACCTATTTTGGTCTCAACTAAATCAGCTAAAGTTTTGGTTGAGGCATAGCTGCAAGCCGGTAATTTTGGGTCGAATTGGGAAGCCGAAATGCAATTTTCTTTGATTTGTTTTGTTAAGGAATTTTGAAAAGCCAAATTCTTTTTAACATGTAAGATTTGGTAAGGGAAGGTGAGGAGTTGTTCCCAGGCGCGTAACGAGTTCTCCTGTGCTGCCAGACGGACACAATTTGCTAACTGTTGCGCAACTAAAGGTCTGGCACCACGGGGAACTCGTTTAAGTACAGGGATAGATTTTTTAAATTTTGATAATCTTTTCCAAAAGAATTTTATTTTATTTTTTATTTATTTATTATTACCTTTTTTTAAGGTGTAAATATTTTAGTTCATAGTTATTTATATTTTAAGTTGTATATATTTTCAGAAATATAAATATAACTAGCCGTAACGATGATCTACATTTTGACAGTACCATCGGGTTTACGTCCCTAGGAAACCACGAAAATGATACCCATGACGAAAAGTTGAAAATTTCGTGCAGCGGTCATCTTGGATTTACATTTTCACAGTAAGTACCATCAGTTTTACCATCCTCGAAAACCATGAACATGACACCTATGACGAAATGTTGAAAATGTTGTGCAGCCATCTTGGGTTTACATTTATTTTACATTTCAACATTATCATCGGTTTTACTACCCTCAAAAACCGCGAAAATTACACCCCTATCGACTATGTTGATAACTTCGTATAGCCGACATCTTGGAATAACGTTTCATTTTGAAACTACAAAATATGATAATGGTTACCCAGACCATCCATTGTAAAATAATTACAATGAGGCAAAACGTGTGCCGTCATATTGTAAAACGTTTAGCATTGACAATACAATGTCAAACACCGCTAGGACACCGGTGACCGCAACCTATTGTTCTTTAATTGTGTCTATAATGACGGTACCCAAAAGGGTGTACGGCTAATAGTGCAGTCGCCGTATCCCAAAACGGCCACGCTTTTTTAATGGCTAGGCGTAATGTGATACGGCGGAACAATTCGCTTGCGACATATACATTGGCAGTCAATGTGATACTTTTGTAACTTTTGCAATCTAGCATCATTGACGTAAAATAAAAGACTTTTTAAAATAATGCACTTTTAATCACAGGGCGCAGGCTTCTTATTGGTAACAAAATAAATACCGCAACAACCATACTCTAGTACTAACTATAGCATCGCTACCGGCGCCGCGCGCCCGCCGCGGACCACTAGTCGTGCCACTAATCGCGCCATCAGTCGCACATTCAGATCACAGTATCACAGCAATGCAAGGGCCGAGAGGTCCGAGGCGAGCTCAGCGCGCCATATTACACACTAACGATAGTCAGGGTTACATGTTCCATGTAATGGCTTACTACAAACTAAAACACATACATACGTATATGTAGGTCGCTCGCGACACGAGTCGCCCGCGACGGAATGTATCACAATCGGCGAGCCGGGCTCGACAGTACTTACATACGTACAATAAATAGAGTATCATGTTATAGCTATATACACAATTTTACTCCTCGCACTAATTTTATACTCTAACCCCGCAAATATATGTAGAACGGCGCGACCTCGGGGCGGCGCTAGTGCGCCAGCAGGTCGGACAGATGCGCGGCGATGGCGGCGGCGCCCGCGCCCGCCAGGATGGAGCGGTGCGAGCCCGCCAACTGGCGCGTCTGCAGCGGGCCCGCGCAGACCGCGCGCAGTCCGTAGTCCTCGTCCAGCGCCACGTAGTTGTCGCGCGCCGTGAACAGCGTCACGGGCGCCTGCAGGCGGCCCGAGGGCTTGTACGTGTCGGCGATGACCAGCTTGCGGTAGAACGAGCCCGCCGCCGCCGCCAGCGCCGCCGCGTCGTGCGGCCCGGCCGCCGCGCCCACCAGCTCCGTCGTGCGC